CCCACGGGAGCCAGGGGAACCTCAGTAACCCACTAGGTCAGTGTCAGACACACATCGCCCAAATCCCGAAGCTGTGTGACCCAACTTCAGGCCTCCTTTGCACCCTGACTCTGAACACCACACAAAAACTGAATTGGCCTCTTGAGAGACATGGCTCTGAATTCCAGCTGTCTGCCATTCCATGGGAATGTGGCAGGGTTGAGCCTGCTCACACACTCTGCACTGAGGATAAGAGGAGCAGAGCTTTGGAGGCTCTTCGGTAACCCAGACCACATGAAGGTCTCGCATGTGCACGGACAGTGTGAGACAGAGGCCCCAGCTCCAAGGGCCGGCATTGGAACCCTGAGGCAGAACCTGGAAGAGCCTTCTGGACTGGCTGAATCCAGTCAACTCGTCTCACAAGGGAGAGGCTAGTTGGCTCACGAGAGACACACGAGCCCCACAGCTGGTTGCTGGACGTGGATGCAAATGCTGAGGGCCTTGGGCACCAGGGGCTGTCACCAGCCCATGAGTGTCAGGGAGAGGATGGTGTGAGCCTAACAACATTGTGTGTCCACCCTGGATGGGTGCTGGCTGCAAAGACCTACGAGCTATAAGCACAGAGGCCAATGTGTTGGATCCAGTGTCACAGGGAAGGTGCAGGGAGCATGGTGTGAATGACCTAGCATGAGAGCCGGGGCTGAGCCTCAGCATGGCTGCTCTTGGGCCTCCACACTCTACATTCACAAAGGAATCACATTTGTGGCATCTGGGACTTTCCAGGGGAGCCTAGGCATAGCCCAATGGGAGTAAGTTATAAAAAACAACAAGTATTGCGGGACAGTGTGCCCACAAGCAGACTCACCATATGCACGCAGGAGCCGGGCCAGGGGACCGTCTTGCATGTGTCCATTCTTTTTCTCGAAATGCTCCCGTGCACTGACTTCTCCTCGGGGCTTCACTGATGCAGTACCCTGGTATTTGCAGGGTGTCCCAGGGCACATTTTGGGGCCGTCCAGACACGGTGGCTCACGCCAGGGGCTGTTGGGGTATGAGGCAGGGGATGGTCATGACTCTGGCTGACTCCTTCTACCATCCCATGTGGGCATCAGCCTCTGTGGCCACAGCAATAGGGCACAAGCAGCCGTTTCCCTCAGGGGCCAGAGGGTAGCTGCACTAGGCTCCGGGGAGCTAGACACAGACTTAGATACGGAGGTGAAAGGATAGCAGGGGAGTGGTGCACAACCCTCGCAGCAGGGCAACCGGCCTGACAAGTCAATCAAGGGCTCTGGTGACCTATGGGACTGCCCTCCCCAGACCCCACAGCGAAGGTTCACTCTAGCTCCTGGGAACTCCTCAGAGCAAATGTCCATCCATTCAGGGCCGCATGCCGGGCCACAACCAAGTGCACCTGCTGAGCAGCTTGAGCACACCACCTCTCGGGCTCCCCACCCCTGACCAGCACAGGCCCCAGGACATCTCTCCAGCCCCTGCTTGCTGGCTCAAGACTCTCCTCATGCCACCCACACAGGATCCTGACACAGGCAAGGGAAATCACCACAGGGCAGAGAGGGACAGGCCTCCCCTCACAGAGGCACAGGAGCCATAAGGGCTCAAGAATCACCTGCAAGGACCACAGGGACACAACCAACCCTGACAATGTCTCTAAAGCAAAGTGTAGGCCTGTCAGAGTTGGAATGCTCGGGATGGGTGGCAGTGCTGGTCTCAGACACAACAGAGCATGAGCCAGCATGGGTGCCATGGGACCCTGGGGCCCATCGGGTGTCTCCCTCTCCCACGACTGCACGTGGAACCCTGAAACGTGAGTGCCCACACCGTCTGGAGACTTACACGTCCTCGGGTGCAGTCGAGGCGTCATCCTCATCCACAGAGGCCCGCATTGAGGCTGCAAATCACATCACACAAGGGAAGGGCACCGTGAGTGGAGCTAAGCACAGGGGGATCACCCACAGGGGGGTCTACCTCTCTGGCTGAGCAAGGAGCAAGCTCCTGGCTCGGGCCCATCTCATAGCCAGCAGGGCAAGGTCCAAGGACACTGATCAGGACTGTCCTTTCCCACGGGAGCCAGGGGAACCTCAGTAACCCACTAGGTCAGTGTCAGACACACATCACCCAAATCCGGAAGCTGTGTGACCCAACTTCAGGCCTCCTTTGCACCCCTACTCTCAGCACCAGACAAAACCCCAATCGCCTCCTTGAGAGACAAGGCTCTGAATTCCAGCTGTCTGCCATTCCATGGGAATGTGGCAGGGTTGTGCCTGCTCACACACTCTGCACTGAGGCATAAGAGGAGCAGAGCTTTGGAGGCTCTTCGGTAACCCAGACCACATGAAGGTCTCGCATGTGCACGGACAGTGTGAGACAGAGGCCCCAGCTCCAAGGGCCGGCATTGGAACCCTGAGGCAGAACCTGGAAGAGCCTTCTGGACTGGCTGAATCCAGTCAACTCGTCTCACAAGGGAGAGGCTAGTCGGCTCACGAGAGACACACGAGCCCCACAGCTGGTTGCTGGACATGGATGCAAATGCTGAGGGCCTTGGGCACCGGAGGCTCTCACCAGCTCATCAGTGTCGGGAGAGGATGGTGTGAGCCTAACAACATTGTGTGTCCACCCTGGATGGGTGCTGGCTGCAAAGATCTACGAGCTATAAGCACAGAGACCAATGTGTTGGAACTAGTGTCACAGGGAAGGTGCAGGGAACATGGCATGAATGACCTAGCATGAGAGCCGGGGCTGAGCCTCAGCATGGCTGCTCTTGTGCCTCCACACTCTACATTCACAAAGGAATCACATTTGTGGCATCTGGAACTTTCCAGGGGAGCCTAGGCATAGCCCAAAGGGGGGAAGTTATAAAAAACAACAAGTATTGCGGGACAGTGTGCCCACAAGCAGACTCACCATATGCACGCAGGAGCCGGGCCAGGGGACCGTCTTGCATGTGTCCATTCTTTTTCTCGAAATGCTCCTGTGCACTGACTTCTCCTCGGGGCTTCACTGATGCAGTACCCTGGTATTTGCAGGGTGTCCCAGGGCACATTTTGGGGCCGTCCAGACACGGTGGCTCACGCCAGGGGCTGTTGGGGTATGAGGCAGGGGATGGTCATGACTCTGGCTGACTCCTTCTACCATCCCATGTGGGCATCAGCCTCTGTGGCCACAGCAATAGGGCACAAGCAGCCGTTTCCCTCAGGGGCCAGAGGGTAGCTGCACTAGGCTCCGGGGAGCTAGACACAGACATAGATACGGAGGCGGAAGGAGAGCAGGGGAGAGGGGCACAAGCCTGCCTCACAACGGAATCAAGGGCTCTGGTGACCTATGGGACTGCCCGCCCCAGGCTCCACTGGGATGGCTCACTCCAGCTCCGGGGCACCCCTGAAAGCAAATGTCTGTCCCTTCAAGGCCGCATGCCGGGCCACAGCCAAGTGCACCTGCTGAGCAGCTTGAGCACACCACCTCTCGGGCTCCCCACCCCTGACCAGCACAGGCCCCAGGACATCTCTCCAGCCCCTGCTTGCTGGCTCAAGACTCTCCTCATGCCACCCACACAGGATCCTGACACAGGCAAGGGAAATCACCACAGGGCAGAGAGGGACAGGCCTCCCCTCACAGAGGCACAGGAGCCATAAGGGCTCAAGAATCACCTGCAAGGACCACAGGGACACAACCAACCCTGACAATGTCTCTAAAGCAAAGTGTAGGCCTGTCAGAGTTGGAACGCCCGGGATGGGTGGCAGTGCTGGTCTCAGACACAACAGAGCATGAGCCAGCATGGGTGCCATGGGACCCTGGGGCCCATCGGGTGTCTCCCTCTCCCACGACTGCACGTGGAACCCTGAAACGTGAGTGCCCACACTGTCTGGAGACTTACACGTCCTCGGGTGCAGTCGGGGCGTCATCCTCATCCACAGAGGCCCGCATTGAGGCTGCAAATCACATCACACAAGGGAAGGGCACCGTGAGTGGAGCTAAGCACAGGGGGATCACCCACAGGGGGGTCTACCTCTCTGGCTGAGCAAGGAACAAGCTCCTGGCTCGGGCCCATCTCATAGCCAGCAGGGCAAGGTCCAAGGACACTGATCAGGACTGTCCTTTCCCACGGGAGCCAGGGGAACCTCAGTAACCCACTAGGTCAGTGTCAGACACACATCGCCCAAATCCGGAAGCTGTGTGACCCAACTTCAGGCCTCCTTTGCACCCCTACTCTCAGCACCAGACAAAACCCCAATCGCCTCCTTGAGAGACAAGGCTCTGAATTCCAGCTGTCTGCCTTTCCTGGGAATGTGGCAGGGTTGTGTCTGCTCACACACACTGCGCTGAGGATAAGAGGAGCAGAGCTTTGGGGGCTCTTCGGTAACCCAGACCACATGAAGGTCTCGCATGTGCACGGACAGTGTGAGACAGAGGCCCCAGCTCCAAGGGCCGGCATTGGAACCCTGAGGCAGAACCTGGAAGAGCCTTCTGGACTGGCTGAATCCAATCAACTCGTCTCACAAGGGAGGCTAGTCGGCTCACGAGAGACACATGAGCCCCACAGCTGGTTGCTGGACGTGGATGCAAATGCTGAGGGCCTTGGGCACCAGGGGCTGTCACCAGCCCATGAGTGTCAGAGAGAGGATGGTGTGAGGCCAGAACGCCTGTGTCTGGGGGAACAGCGTCACTGGGGAGGTGCAGGGAGCCAGGCATGACCCAACACGAGGGGCTGGGCTGTGCTGGGCTTTAGCAGGGCTGTGCTTTTGGCCCTGACAGCCTGCACTCACCCAGGACTGACACATGCGCCATCTGGCACTCACACAGGGCAGCAGGAGGCAGCCCAGCCGGGTGGGCATTTGCTGAAGAGATGGCAAGTGTCAAGGGAGACTGTGTCCACGGGGAGACTCACCGTCAACGCTGAGGGCACGGGCCAGGCCACCCTCTCGCACGCGGTCACCACTGTTCTTCAAGCGCAGCTGCAGCAGCCACTCACGTGGCACTTCCGGCATTGTGGGCTCAGTCCCACGGGCTTCCCAGGGAGTCCCAGGGCACATTTTGGGGCCGTCCAGACACGGTGGCTCACGCCAGGGGCTGTTGGGGTATGAGGCAGGGGATGGTCATGACTCTGGCTGACTCCTTCTACCATCCCATGTGGGCATCAGCCTCTGTGGCCACAGCAATAGGGCACAAGCAGCCGTTTCCCTCAGGGGCCAGAGGGTAGCTGCACTAGGCTCCGGGGAGCTAGACACAGACATAGATACGGAGGCGGAAGGAGAGCAGGGGAGAGGGGCACAAGCCTGCCTCACAACGGAATCAAGGGCTCTGGTGACCTATGGGACTGCCCGCCCCAGGCTCCACTGGGATGGCTCACTCCAGCTCCGGGGCACCCCTGAAAGCAAATGTCTGTCCCTTCAAGGCCGCATGCCGGGCCACAGCCAAGTGCACCTGCTGAGCAGCTTGAGCACACCACCTCTCGGGCTCCCCACCCCTGACCAGCACAGGCCCCAGGACATCTCTCCAGCCCCTGCTTGCTGGCTCAAGACTCTCCTCATGCCACCCACACAGGATCCTGACACAGGCAAGGGAAATCACCACAGGGCAGAGAGGGACAGGCCTCCCCTCACAGAGGCACAGGAGCCATAAGGGCTCAAGAATCACCTGCAAGGACCACAGGGACACAACCAACCCTGACAATGTCTCTAAAGCAAAGTGTAGGCCTGTCAGAGTTGGAATGCCCAGGATGGATGGCAGTGCTGGTCTCAGACACAACAGAGCATGAGCCAGCATGGGTGCCATGGGACCCTGGGGCCCATCGGGTGTCTCCCTCTCCCACGACTGCACGTGGAACCCTGAAACGTGAGTGCCCACACTGTCTGGAGACTTACACGTCCTCGGGTGCAGTCGGGGCGTCATCCTCATCCACAGAGGCCCGCATTGAGGCTGCAAATCACATCACACAAGGGAAGGGCACCGTGAGTGGAGCTAAGCACAGGGGGATCACCCACAGGGGGGTCTACCTCTCTGGCTGAGCAAGGAACAAGCTCCTGGCTCGGGCCCATCTCATAGCCAGCAGGGCAAGGTCCAAGGACACTGATCAGGACTGTCCTTTCCCACGGGAGCCAGGGGAACCTCAGTAACCCACTAGGTCAGTGTCAGACACACATCGCCCAAATCCGGAAGCTGTGTGACCCAACTTCAGGCCTCCTTTGCACCCCTACTCTCAGCACCAGACAAAACCCCAATCGCCTCCTTGAGAGACAAGGCTCTGAATTCCAGCTGTCTGCCTTTCCTGGGAATGTGGCAGGGTTGTGTCTGCTCACACACACTGCGCTGAGGATAAGAGGAGCAGAGCTTTGGGGGCTCTTCGGTAACCCAGACCACATGAAGGTCTCGCATGTGCACGGACAGTGTGAGACAGAGGCCCCAGCTCCAAGGGCCGGCATTGGAACCCTGAGGCAGAACCTGGAAGAGCCTTCTGGACTGGCTGAATCCAATCAACTCGTCTCACAAGGGAGGCTAGTCGGCTCACGAGAGACACATGAGCCCCACAGCTGGTTGCTGGACGTGGATGCAAATGCTGAGGGCCTTGGGCACCAGGGGCTGTCACCAGCCCATGAGTGTCAGAGAGAGGATGGTGTTAGGCCAGAACGCCTGTGTCTGGGGGAACAGCGTCACTGGGGAGGTGCAGGGAGCCAGGCATGACCCAACACGAGGGGCTGGGCTGTGCTGGGCTTTAGCAGGGCTGTGCTTTTGGCCCTGACAGCCTGCACTCACCCAGGACTGACACATGCGCCATCTGGCACTCACACAGGGCAGCAGGAGGCAGCCCAGCCGGGTGGGCATTTGCTGAAGAGATGGCAAGTGTCAAGGGAGACTGTGTCCACGGGGAGACTCACCGTCAACGCTGAGGGCACGGGCCAGGCCACCCTCTCGCACGCAGTCACCACTGTTCTTCAAGCGCAGCTGCAGCAGCCACTCACGTGGCACTTCCGGCATTGTGGGCTCAGTCCCACGGGCTTCCCAGGGAGTCCCAGGGCACATTTTGGGGCCGTCCAGACACGGTGGCTCACGCCAGGGGCTGTTGGGGTATGAGGCAGGGGATGGTCATGACTCTGGCTGACTCCTTCTACCATCCCATGTGGGCATCAGCCTCTGTGGCCACAGCAATAGGGCACAAGCAGCCGTTTCCCTCAGGGGCCAGAGGGTAGCTGCACTAGGCTCCGGGGAGCTAGACACAGACATAGATACGGAGGCGGAAGGAGAGCAGGGGAGAGGGGCACAAGCCTGCCTCACAACGGAATCAAGGGCTCTGGTGACCTATGGGACTGCCTTCCCCCGGCCCCCACTGGGATGGCTCACTCCAGCTCCGGGGCACCCCTGAAAGCAAATGTCTGTCCCTTCAAGGCCGCATGCCGGGCCACAGCCAAGTGCACCTGCTGAGCAGCTTGAGCACACCACCTCTCGGGCTCCCCACCCCTGACCAGCACAGGCCCCAGGACATCTCTCCAGCCCCTGCTTGCTGGCTCAAGACTCTCCTCATGCCACCCACACAGGATCCTGACACAGGCAAGGGAAATCACCACAGGGCAGAGAGGGACAGGCCTCCCCTCACAGAGGCACAGGAGCCATAAGGGCTCAAGAATCACCTGCAAGGACCACAGGGACACAACCAACCCTGACAATGTCTCTAAAGCAAAGTGTAGGCCTGTCAGAGTTGGAATGCCCAGGATGGATGGCAGTGCTGGTCTCAGACACAACAGAGCATGAGCCAGCATGGGTGCCATGGGACCCTGGGGCCCATTGGGTGTCTCCCTCTCCCACGACTGCACGTGGAACCCTGAAACGTGAGTGCCCACACTGTCTGGAGACTTACACGTCCTCGGGTGCAGTCGGGGCGTCATCCTCATCCACAGAGGCCCGCATTGAGGCTGCAAATCACATCACACAAGGGAAGGGCACCGTGAGTGGAGCTAAGCACAGGGGGATCACCCACAGGGGGGTCTACCTCTCTGGCTGAGCAAGGAACAAGCTCCTGGCTCGGGCCCATCTCATAGCCAGCAGGGCAAGGTCCAAGGACACTGATCAGGACTGTCCTTTCCCACGGGAGCCAGGGGAACCTCAGTAACCCACTAGGTCAGTGTCAGACACACATCGCCCAAATCCGGAAGCTGTGTGACCCAACTTCAGGCCTCCTTTGCACCCCTACTCTCAGCACCAGACAAAACCCCAATCGCCTCCTTGAGAGACATGGCTCTGAATTCCAGCTGTCTGCCATTCCTGGGAATGTGGCAGGGTTGTGCCTGCTCACACACTGCGCTGTGGCATAAGAGGGGCAGAGCTTTGGGGGCTCTTCGGTAACCCAGACCACATGAAGATCTCGCATGTGCACGGACAGTGTGAGACAGAGGCCCCAGCTCCAAGGGCCGGCATTGGAACCCTGAGGCAGAACCTGGAAGAGCCTTCTGGACTGGCTGAATCCAGTCAACTCGTCTCACAAGGGAGAGGCTAGTCGGCTCACGAGAGACACATGAGCCCCACAGCTGGTTGCTGGACGTGGATGCAAATGCTGAGGGCCTTGGGCACCAGGGGCTGTCACCAGCCCATGAGTGTCAGAGAGAGGATGGTGTGAGGCCAGAACGCCTGTGTCTGGGGGAACAGCGTCACTGGGGAGGTGCAGGGAGCCAGGCATGACCCAACACGAGGGGCTGGGCTGTGCTGGGCTTTAGCAGGGCTGTGCTTTTGGCCCTGACAGCCTGCACTCACCCAGGACTGACACATGCGCCATCTGGCACTCACACAGGGCAGCAGGAGGCAGCCCAGCCGGGTGGGCATTTGCTGAAGAGATGGCAAGTGTCAAGGGAGACTGTGTCCACGGGGAGACTCACCGTCAACGCTGAGGGCACGGGCCAGGCCACCCTCTCGCACGCAGTCACCATTGTTCTTCAAGCGCAGCTGCAGCAGCCACTCACGTGGCACTTCCGGCATTGTGGGCTCAGTCCCACGGGCTTCCCAGGGAGTCCCAGGGCACATTTTGGGGCCGTCCAGACACGGTGGCTCACGCCAGGGGCTGTTGGGATATGAAGCAGGAGATGGTCATGACTCTGGCTGACTCCTTCTACCATCCCATGTGGGCATCAGCCTCTATGGCCACAGCAATAGGGCACAAGCAGCCGTTTCCCTCAGGGGCCAGAGGGTAGCTGCACTAGGCTCCGGGGAGCTAGACACAGACATAGATACGGAGGCGGAAGGAGAGCAGGGGAGAGGGGCACAAGCCTGCCTCACAACGGAATCAAGGGCTCTGGTGACCTATGGGACTGCCCGCCCCAGACCCCTACCGGGATGGCTCACTCCAGCTCCGGGGCACCCCTGAAAGCAAATGTCTGTCCCTTCAAGGCCGCATGCCGGGCCACAGCCAAGTGCACCTGCTGAGCAGCTTGAGCACACCACCTCTCGGGCTCCCCACCCCTGACCAGCACAGGCCCCAGGACATCTCTCCAGCCCCTGCTTGCTGGCTCAAGACTCTCCTCATGCCACCCACACAGGATCCTGACACAGGCAAGGGAAATCACCACAGGGCAGAGAGGGACAGGCCTCCCCTCACAGAGGCACAGGAGCCATAAGGGCTCAAGAATCACTTGCTAGGACCACAGGGACACAACCAACCCTGACAATGTCTCTAAAGCAAAGTGTAGGCCTGTCAGAGTTGGAATGCCCAGGATGGATGGCAGTGCTGGTCTCAGACACAACAGAGCATGAGCCAGCATGGGTGCCATGGGACCCTGGGGCCCATTGGGTGTCTCCCTCTCCCACGACTGCACGTGGAACCCTGAAACGTGAGTGCCCACACTGTCTGGAGACTTACACGTCCTCGGGTGCAGTCGGGGCGTCATCCTCATCCACAGAGGCCCGCATTGAGGCTGCAAATCACATCACACAAGGGAAGGGCACCGTGAGTGGAGCTAAGCACAGGGGGATCACCCACAGGGGGGTCTACCTCTCTGGCTGAGCAAGGAACAAGCTCCTGGCTCGGGCCCATCTCATAGCCAGCAGGGCAAGGTCCAAGGACACTGATCAGGACTGTCCTTTCCCACGGGAGCCAGGGGAACCTCAGTAACCCACTAGGTCAGTGTCAGACACACATCGCCCAAATCCAGAAGCTGTGTGACCCAACTTCAGGCCTCCTTTGCACCCCTACTCTCAGCACCAGACAAAACCCCAATCGCCTCCTTGAGAGACATGGCTCTGAATTCCAGCTGTCTGCCATTCCATGGGAATGTGGCAGGGTTGTGCCTGCTCACACACACTGCGCTGAGGCATAAGAGGAGCAGAGCTTTGGGGGCTCTTCGGTAACCCAGACCACATGAAGATCTCGCATGTGCACGGACAGTGTGAGACAGAGGCCCCAGCTCCAAGGGCCGGCATTGGAACCCTGAGGCAGAACCTGGAAGAGCCTTCTGGACTGGCTGAATCCAGTCAACTCGTCTCACAAGGGAGAGGCTAGTCGGCTCACGAGAGACACATGAGCCCCACAGCTGGTTGCTGGACGTGGATGCAAATGCTGAGGGCCTTGGGCACCAGGGGCTGTCACCAGCCCATGAGTGTCAGGGAGAGGATGGTGTTAGGCCAGAACGCCTGTGTCTGGGGGAACAGCGTCACTGGGGAGGTGCAGGGAGCCAGGCATGACCCAACACGAGGGGCTGGGCTGGGCTGGGCTTTAGCAGGGCTGTGCTTTTGGCCCTGACAGCCTGCACTCACCCAGGACTGACACATGCGCCATCTGGCACTCACACAGGGCAGCAGGAGGCAGCCCAGCCGGGTGGGCATTTGCTGAAGAGATGGCAAGTGTCAAGGGAGACTGTGTCCACGGGGAGACTCACCGTCAACGCTGAGGGCACGGGCCAGGCCACCCTCTCGCACGCAGTCACCATTGTTCTTCAAGCGCAGCTGCAGCAGCCACTCACGTGGCACTTCCGGCATTGTGGGCTCAGTCCCACAGGCTTCCCAGGGAGTCCCAGGGCACATTTTGGGGCCGTCCAGACACGGTGGCTCACGCCAGGGGCTGTTGGGGTATGAGGCAGGGGATGGTCATGACTCTGGCTGACTCCTTCTACCATCCCATGTGGGCATCAGCCTCTGTGGCCACAGCAATAGGGCACAAGCAGCCGTTTCCCTCAGGGGCCAGAGGGTAGCTGCACTAGGCTCCGGGGAGCTAGACACAGACATAGATACGGAGGCGGAAGGAGAGCAGGGGAGAGGGGCACAAGCCTGCCTCACAACGGAATCAAGGGCTCTGGTGACCTATGGGACTGCCCTCCCCAGACCCCTACCGGGATGGCTCACTCCAGCTCCGGGGCACCCCTGAAAGCAAATGTCTGTCCCTTCAAGGCCGCATGCCGGGCCACAGCCAAGTGCACCTGCTGAGCAGCTTGAGCACACCACCTCTCGGGCTCCCCACCCCTGACCAGCACAGGCCCCAGGACATCTCTCCAGCCCCTGCTTGCTGGCTCAAGACTCTCCTCATGCCACCCACACAGGATCCTGACACAGGCAAGGGAAATCACCACAGGGCAGAGAGGGACAGGCCTCCCCTCACAGAGGCACAGGAGCCATAAGGGCTCAAGAATCACTTGCTAGGACCACAGGGACACAACCAACCCTGACAATGTCTCTAAAGCAAAGTGTAGGCCTGTCAGAGTTGGAATGCCCAGGATGGATGGCAGTGCTGGTCTCAGACACAACAGAGCATGAGCCAGCATGGGTGCCATGGGACCCTGGGGCCCATTGGGTGTCTCCCTCTCCCACGACTGCACGTGGAACCCTGAAACGTGAGTGCCCACACTGTCTGGAGACTTACACGTCCTCGGGTGCAGTCGGGGCGTCATCCTCATCCACAGAGGCCCGCATTGAGGCTGCAAATCACATCACACAAGGGAAGGGCACCGTGAGTGGAGCTAAGCACAGGGGGATCACCCACAGGGGGGTCTACCTCTCTGGCTGAGCAAGGAACAAGCTCCTGGCTCGGGCCCATCTCATAGCCAGCAGGGCAAGGTCCAAGGACACTGATCAGGACTGTCCTTTCCCACGGGAGCCAGGGGAACCTCAGTAACCCACTAGGTCAGTGTCAGACACACATCGCCCAAATCCGGAAGCTGTGTGACCCAACTTCAGGCCTCCTTTGCACCCCTACTCTCAGCACCAGACAAAACCCCAATCGCCTCCTTGAGAGACAAGGCTCTGAATTCCAGCTGTCTGCCTTTCCTGGGAATGTGGCAGGGTTGTGCCTGCTCACACACACTGCGCTGAGGCATAAGAGGAGCAGAGCTTTGGGGGCTCTTCGGTAACCCAGACCACATGAAGATCTCGCATGTGCACGGACAGTGTGAGACAGAGGCCCCAGCTCCAAGGGCCGGCATTGGAACCCTGAGGCAGAACCTGGAAGAGCCTTCTGGACTGGCTGAATCCAGTCAACTCGTCTCACAAGGGAGGCTAGTCGGCTCACGAGAGACACATGAGCCCCACAGCTGGTTGCTGGACGTGGATGCAAATGCTGAGGGCCTTGGGCACCAGGGGCTGTCACCAGCCCATGAGTGTCAGGGAGAGGATGGTGTGAGGCCAGAACGCCTGTGTCTGGGGGAACAGCGTCACTGGGGAGGTGCAGGGAGCCAGGCATGACCCAACACGAGGGGCTGGGCTGGGCTGGGCTTTAGCAGGGCTGTGCTTTTGGCCCTGACAGCCTGCACTCACCCAGGACTGACACATGCGCCATCTGGCACTCACACAGGGCAGCAGGAGGCAGCCCAGCCGGGTGGGCATTTGCTGAAGAGATGGCAAGTGTCAAGGGAGACTGTGTCCACGGGGAGACTCACCGTCAACGCTGAGGGCACGGGCCAGGCCACCCTCTCGCACGCAGTCACCATTGTTCTTCAAGCGCAGCTGCAGCAGCCACTCACGTGGCACTTCCGGCATTGTGGGCTCAGTCCCACGGGCTTCCCAGGGAGTCCCAGGGCACATTTTGGGGCCGTCCAGACACGGTGGCTCACGCCAGGGGCTGTTGGGGTATGAGGCAGGGGATGGTCATGACTCTGGCTGACTCCTTCTACCATCCCATGTGGGCATCAGCCTCTGTGGCCACAGCAATAGGGCACAAGCAGCCGTTTCCCTCAGGGGCCAGAGGGTAGCTGCACTAGGCTCCAGGGAGCTAGACACAGACATAGATACGGAGGCGGAAGGAGAGCAGGGGAGAGGGGCACAAGCCTGCCTCACAACGGAATCAAGGGCTCTGGTGACCTATGGGACTGCCCTCCCCAGACCCCTACCGGGATGGCTCACTCCAGCTCCGGGGCACCCCTGAAAGCAAATGTCTGTCCCTTCAAGGCCGCATGCCGGGCCACAGCCAAGTGCACCTGCTGAGCAGCTTGAGCACACCACCTCTCAGGCTCCCCACCCCTGACCAGCACAGGCCCCAGGACATCTCTCCAGCCCCTGCTTGCTGGCTCAAGACTCTCCTCATGCCACCCACACAGGATCCTGACACAGGCAAGGGAAATCACCACAGGGCAGAGAGGGACAGGCCTCCCCTCACAGAGGCACAGGAGCCATAAGGGCTCAAGAATCACTTGCAAGGACCACAGGGACACAACCAACCCTGACAATGTCTCTAAAGCAAAGTGTAGGCCTGTCAGAGTTGGAATGCCCAGGATGGGTGGCAGTGCTGGTCTCAGACACAACAGAGCATGAGCCAGCATGGGTGCCATGGGACCCTGGGGCCCATCCTGTGTGTCTCCCTCTCCCACGACTGCACGTGGAACCCTGAAACATGAGTGCCCACACCGTCTGGAGACTTACACGTCCTCGGGTGCAGTCGGGGCGTCATCCTCATCCACAGAGGCCCGCATTGAGGCTGCAAATCACATCACACAAGGGAAGGGCACCGTGAGTGGAGCTAAGCACAGGGGGATCACCCACAGGGGGGTCTACCTCTCTGGCTGAGCAAGGAGCAAGCTCCTGGCTCGGGCCCATCTCATAGCCAGCAGGGCAAGGTCCAAGGACACTGATCAGGACTGTCCTTTCCCACGGGAGCCAGGGGAACCTCAGTAACCCACTAGGTCAGTGTCAGACACACATCGCCCAAATCCGGAAGCTGTGTGACCCAACTTCAGGCCTCCTTTGCACCCCTACTCTCAGCACCAGACAAAACCCCAATCGTCCCCTTGAGAGACAAGGCTCTGAATTCCAGCTGTCTGCCTTTCCTGGGAATGTGGCAGGGTTGTGCCTGCTCACACACACTGCGCTGAGGCATAAGAGAAGCAGAGCTTTGGGGGCTCTTCGGTAACCCAGACCACATGAAGGTCTCGCATGTGCACGGACAGTGTGAGACAGAGGCCCCAGCTCCAAGGGCCGGCATTGGAACCCTGAGGCAGAACCTGGAAGAGCCTTCTGGACTGGCTGAATTCAGTCAACTCGTCTCACAAGGGAGGCTAGTCGGTTCACGAGAGACACATGAGCCCCACAGCTGGTTGCTGGACGTGGATGCAAATGCTGAGGGCCTTGGGCACCAGGGGCTGTCACCAGCCCATGAGTGTCAGAGAGAGGATGGTGTGAGGCCAGAACGCCTGTGTCTGGGGGAACAGCGTCACTGGGGAGGTGCAGGGAGCCAGGCATGACCCAACACGAGGGGCTGGGCTGGGCTGGGCTTTAGCAGGGCTGTGCTTTTGGCCCTGACAGCCTGCACTCACCCAGGACTGACACGTGCGCCATCTGGCACTCACACAGGGCAGCAGGAGGCAGCCCAGCCGGGTGGGCATTTGCTGAAGAGATGGCAAGTGTCAAGGGAGACTGTGTCCACGGGGAGACTCACCGTCAACGCTGAGGGCACGGGCCAGGCCACCCTCTCGCACGCAGTCACCATTGTTCTTCAAGCGCAGCTGCAGCGGCCACTCAAGTGGTTCTTCTAGCATCGTGGGCTCAGTCCCACGGGCTTCCCAGGGAGTCCCAGGGCACATTTTGGGGCCGTCCAGACACGGTGGCTCACGCCGGGGGCTGTTGGGATATGAAGCAGGAGATGGTCATGACTCTGGCTGACTCTTTCCTACCATCCCAAATGTGAAACATTCTCTTTGGCATTAGAGCAATAGGGCACAAGCAGCCGTTTCCCTCAGGGGCCAGAGGGCAGCTGTTCGAGGATCCTGGGAAGTAGAAAGAGACATAGAGACTGAGGTGGAGGGAGAGCAGGGAAGATGGAATAACATTGCAGGTCTGCCACCCGGCCAGCCCAACAAATGAATCAAGGGCTCCGGTGACCAATGGGACCACCTTCCCCAGGATCACAACCCAAGACCTCACTCCCACTGTGAGACACCACTGAGAGCAAATGATGTCCTGCACACCTAGCTGTAGCAACTGCACCTGCTGAATACCCTGAGCACCCCACCGCTCAGGCTCTCCACCCCTCACCACAACAGGCCCCGGGCCATCTCTCCAGCCCCTGCTTGCTGGCTCTCTCCTCATGCCACCCACTGAGCATCCTCACACACACACAGGAATGCATCATAGGGCAAAGAGGGACAGATCTTTCCGCACAAAGGCAGAAGCATCACCAAGGCCTCAAGTTTGCCTGTAAGGACTGCCCCTTGTATCTAACCCAAACAGTGTCTTTACTGCAGAAAATGCTGTTACCAGAACAGACCCTTTGGCAATGCACGGGCTGCTGGCATATTTGTCCTCAGGACATGCCAGGTCCGAGGCACCATGCATCCCATGGTGTCCGAGATTCTCCGTGCATCCCTGCCACTGAGTGGCCACATCATCTGGGTGCTTACCCGCCTTGGAACGAATCATACTGTGTGTCCATTGCCTCCACAGGTATCTCGGAAACTGCAAAGAACATTGGACAGTGATTTGGTGAGACCCTCCGTAAACCGCTTACAGACCACACAGGGACATCCTGACCATCTAGCTGATTCATCCATCTGGATGTGGGTGATGAGGTCTTTTTTGAAGACCATGGGTCCTATCATCTCCCAATGGATCCCTTAGGACCTTACACCATCCTTTTGGAGAGAACACCACATGCACCCTTCCTGGGGCTCCCGTCTTTAGAAACCAGTAGAGCATCTTGCATCCCAAGTATTACTACCAACACTGGCCAAGCTCAGGATTGCCAACACGCTGTAATCCAGCCCTTTCCCAGCCATCATCAAGGAGCAATGGAACAGTGTGCTGTGCTCAGGCATGCACAGGGATCTTGCCTCACATGATCCTCAGTGCGCCGCTGCCAGGCTTGAAAATGTGTGCTCTATATGAAGATGGGGCCCCAGACCTGATGCCCAAAAATGGAACACCGAGACCATGACAGAGCCTTCTAGAGGTCTGCTGAGCCCAGTGCATCCATTTCCTAGGACTTGGGAGGTGGTGGCACCTGACAGGCAGAAAACTCCCTTCTTCAAATGCCCAGAGATGCAATGTGAGGACAGCGAAGTGTTCAACGGGACAAATATGCTCAGTCAACTCAGCTCAGAAGCTGGAGGGCATGGGCCTTTCTGGAGGGAGTTGTGTGCCGCAGCTGAATAGTGCAGGTGGATAGGAGAGCTGAGGGGCTGTACCGTAAGGGAGTGTCCCGAGGCAATGAATGTCACACTGAGTTAGCCCATGGGCCTCCAGCATCACTTTTTCATTAGCCAGACAAGTCCTGGCTGGCACCTTACAGGTAGAAGGCACAGAGGATGAGTTGGGGTGCCACTTATCATGGGGAGAGCTTACGTAACCCCAGACATGACCCACCGCCTACAGCCTGAGAAAGCTGTAGTAGGTCCTCAATTCCTCAGCGTGTGCTTCAAAACCCACAGTCTGTGTTCTCACACCTTGGAGCCCTGAGCCAACTCACAATCCTCTAGAGCAGGGCAGGCAGGTTGGTCAGTATCTACCAGCACAGAGCCCACATCTGGAGGTGGCCATTGGTCCTGGCAGTACTCACTTGTCAGGCTGCTGGCCATGCAGTGGTGTTCATGTTGACCAATGACATAACCCTCGGTGGAAGCATGGTGGTAAGTGGCTGCCACGCTGGTGGCCGTAGTGCATGCCCAATAACTTCCTGAGGGCCCAAGTGCGGCATCACACTCATACAGCCAAGACCTGATGGGGTGTGAAGATATGGGAGTTTCACAATGGGGGGAACTGGACACCCAGGGACTTTTTCCTGCCCTTTGCGCCTGTCAGAGTGCACCTGGGGCCAAAGGACTAGGACACACGCAGCAGTCCTCTTCCTGCCAGAAGGGGGCTCTAGGAGTGCTGCTGCTGGAGACACAGCCTCAGACCCAGACAGAGAAGTCTGGAGAGAGCAGGGGTGAGGGCACAAGACTGCCTGCCCAGGCAAGGAGCTAAAAGCTCTGATGAGCAATAGCACTGCCTGCCTTGCTGACCCAACACGAGTCTGAGGGCTCTACTGTGGTGTGAGGCAAGGGATATCCATGAGTGGGGCACCATATTCTGGTTGACTCCATCCTGTCATCCCAAGTGGGCATCAGCCTCTGTGGCAATCAGAGCAACATGGCACAAGCAGCCGTTTCCCTCAGGGGTCAGAGGGCAGCTGCCCTAGGATCCTGGGAGGTAGAAAGAGACATAGAGACTGAGGTACAGGGAGAGCTGGGCAGAGAGGCACAAGCCTGCCGGCCTGCCAGCTGCCTTGCCTGCCTGGTAAGTGAGCCAAGGGCTCTGGTGACCAATGGGACCACCTTCCCCAGGATCACAACCCAAGACCTCACTCCCACTGTGAGACACCACTGAGAGCAAATGATGTCCTGCACACCTGGTTGTAGCAAATGCACCTGCTGAACATCCTGAGCACCCCACCGCTCAGGCTCTCCACCCCTCACCACAACAGGCCCCAGGCCATCTCTCCAGCCCCTGCTTGCTGGCTCAAGACTCTCCTCATGCCACCCACTGAGCATCCTCACACACACAGGAATGCATCATAGGGCAAAGAGGGACAGATCTTTCCGCACAAAGGCAGAAGCATCACCAAGGCCTCAAGTTTGCCTGTAAGGACTGCCCCTTGTATCTAACCCAAACAGTGTCTTTACTGCAGAAAATGCTGTTACCAGAACAGACCCTTTGGCAATGCACGGGCTGCTGGCATATTTGTCCTCAGGACATGCCAGGTCCGAGGCACCTTGTATCCCATGGTGTCTGAGATTCTCCGTGCATCCCTGCCTCTGAGTAGCCACATCATCTGGGTGCTTACCCGCCTTGGATCGAATCATACTGTGTGTCCATTGCCTCCACAGGTATCTCGGAAACTGCAAAGAACATTGGACAGTGATTTGGTGAGACCCTCCGTAAACCGCTTACAGACCACACAGGGACATCCTGACCATCTAGCTGATTCATCCATCTGGATGTGGGTGATGAAGCCTTTTTTGGACACCGTGGGTCCTGTCATCTCCCAATGGATCCCTTAGGACCTTACACCATCCTTTTGGAGAGAACACCACATGCACCCTTCCTGGGGCTCCCGTCTTTAGAAACCAGTAGAGCATCTTGCATCCCAAGTATTACTACCAACACTGGCCAAGCTCAGGATTGCCAACACGCTGTAATCCAGCCCTTTCCCAGCCATCATCAAGGAGCAATGGAACAGTGTGCTGTGCTCAGGCATGCACAGGGATCTTGCCTCACATGATCCTCGGTGCGCCGCTGCCAGCCTTGAAAATGTGTGCTCTATATGAAGATGAGGCCCCAGACCTGATGCCCAAAGGTGGAACACTGAGAGCATGACAGAGCCTTCTAGAGGTCTGCTGAGCCCAGTGCATCCATCTCCTAGGACTTGGGAGGTGGTGGCACCTGACAGGCAGAAAACTCCCTTCTTCAAATGCCCAGAGATGCAATGTGAGGACAGCGAAGTGTTCAACGGGACAAATATGCTCAGTCAACTCAGCTCAGAAGCTGGAGGGCATGGGTCTTTCTGGAGGGAGTTGCGTGCCCCAGCTGAATGGTGCAGGTGGACAGGAGAGCTGAGGGGCTGTACCGTAAGGGAGTGTCCCGAGGCAATGAATGTCACACTGAGTTAGCCCATGGGCCTCCAGCATCACTTTTTCATTAGCCAGACAAGTCCTGGCTGGCACCTTACAGGTAGAAGGCACAGAGGATGAGTTGGGGTGCCACTTATCATGGGGAGAGCTTACGTAACCCCAGACATGACCCACCGCCTACAGCCTGAGAAAGCTGTAGTAGGTCCTCAATTCCTCAGCGTGTGCTTCAGAACCCACAGTCTGTGTTCTCACACCTTGGAGCGCTGAGCTAACTCACAATCCTCTAGAGCAGGGCAGGCAGGTTGGTCAGTATCTACCAGCACAGAGCCCACATCTGGAGGTGGCCATTGGTCCTGGCAGTACTCACTTGTCAGGCTGCTGGCCATGCAGTGGTGTTCATGTTGACCAATGACATAACCTTCGGTGGAAGCATGGTGGTAAGTGGCTGCCACGCTGGTGGCCGTAGTGCATGCCCAATAACTTCCTGAGGGCCCAAGTGCGGCATCACACTCATACAGCCAAGACCTGATGGGGTGTGAAGATATGGGAGTTTCACAATGGGGGGAACTGGACACCCAGGGACTTTTTCCTGCCCTTTGCTCCTGTCAGAGTGCACCTGGGGCCAAAGGACTAGGACACACGCAGCAGTCCTCTTCCTGCCAGAAGGGGGCTCTAGGAGTGCTGCTGCTGGAGACACAGCCTCAGACCCAGACAGAGAAGTCTGGAGAGAGCAGGGGTGAGGGCACAAGACTGCCTGCCCAGGCAAGGAGCTAAAAGCTCTGATGAGCAATAGCACTGCCTGCCTTGCTGCCCCTCATGATTCCCACTGAATATCTGAGTTTTCCCTGAGATTGAACTAGTTTGGAAATCCAGAGATTTTCCCTCAGCATACCTTCCCTCTTACATTCTTTAACCACTCACTCTCCACTTAT